GCGCCAAAACTAGCTTAGCTGGCCTATTGAGCTGTATTATTCGTGTTACACACATACTTTCGACAAGCAGGACTAGAGTTCGACGGACTGAAGCGCGCCCATGTACTAACAAATTTCAAAAGTATTCGGACACCTTGGCGCCAAGAGAAAATCTGGTGCCAAGACATTTGAGTAAATAGGGTAAATCCATTCTGAGTTGATAAACACCTGTATTACAACAAACATTCTTATCCAACCATGAGCCCGATCCACCCAACTGCAAATCAGCAGTGAGGTAAGAGAACTTATATACTAGCAGAGATATATGATAGGCTAATTTTTAATAATTAGGAAAGGAGATTACCCCATGGCGGCGTGCTGTGATCATCGCCTATTATGGTCTGAATGTTTCTATAAGCTTCCAGCAAACTCAAGCAGTTATTGGGGTTTCAAAATCCACAGACAGTGATATCTAGAAGCATTCACTTTCTAATACAGAGAGTGCTTAGCTTCAAACTCAGTCTCTAGTGCTGCCTCTTCTGGCAGCACTTCCTTTAGTGCCACCTTCTCCTATAGCACTTCTTTCTGTGCTGCCTCTGGAGGCAGCACTCCCTTTGCCATTACCACCGCTAGCAGTACTTCCTTCTGTGATACCCCTTCAGGCAGTATATTCTTTACCTCTATTACCTCCGGCAGAGCTTTCTTCTATGCTGCCTCTCCAGACAGTACTCTCTTTGACTCTACCATCTCTCATGGTACATTCTTTAATACTACCCCTTCAGGCAGCACCCCCTTTGACTCCACTAACTACTGTAGCACTTTCTTGTGTGCTGCCTCTTCAGGCTGCACTCCCTTTAGCTTTACCATCTCTGGCGGAGCTTCTTTCAGTGCTGCCTCTTCAGACAGTCCTCCCTTCAGCTCTACTACCTCCTGCGGTGCTTCTATCTGTGCAGTCTCTGCTGACAGAACTACCTTCACTACTATCTCTTCTGACAGCACTTCCTTCAGTGCTACCTCTCCCCGCAGCACTACATTCAATGCTACCTCTTCTAGCCACACTCTCTTCAGTGCTGCCTTTTCCTGGCAGCACTCCCTCCAATGCTACCTCTTCTGGTAGCACTCCCCTCTGTGCTGCCTCTTCCAGTAGTACAGCTTCGCTCAGAACAACTCTCAATGATATCACTTCCCTATACACAACTTCCTCAGAAGACGCTTCCACTAGTACCCTCATTGCCTGCTTGTGTAGAATATCACAAACTATTTTCCCTCCTTAAATTAATTAAGGCTAGTGTATTGGACCCTGCTTCATGCCAGGACCACCCATGACTTGTATCTGAGTCAGATAAGGATGATATTGTCAAATTTATAAAAAGTGGCTTTGTCTCATGACATTTGCAGTTGAGGAATATACGACAAGAATCTGACTTCACTCATGTGAGTGATTCCGCAGTTTTTAGAACTTTAGCTGAGGGTGGGATACATACCTATTGGGAAGTTTTTAAGTTTATTTTAAGTGCAGAAAATCAAATCAAACATATAGTCAGTGCATTTTATTTACCTACTACTAGTATAATTGAACAAATAGCTAATAGATAATCATAGAATTATTGTACGCCTCGTTTGAATTGGCTTCATGAGACTAAATGGGCCAACTACGCTGTTACCGATGAGATGTCTACTCAAATTGGTGGCATTTATGGATCCTCTACAGTGTGGCGAGTAAAAGGCAAGCAGTGGCATGACAATTATGTTGGAGTTAAGAAGAAGAGAGGGACTATGGTGATATGCTGGGGAATGATTGGTTGGAACTGGAAAGAACTGTTTTGGGTGTGGGAACCAGAAACAGGGAAGGAAAAGGTTACTACCATTGAGGCTATAAGAGTTTACAATACAAATTGCATGGCAGAAGAGCAGCAGTTGAATAATTCTTGGAGGTTAAGCGCTGGGTGGAGGCAATTAAAAGAGCAGAAGTTGAAGGCACTATGGGAGGCAGAGGTTGAAGTTCAGAGAATAGGAGTTAAGATTAAAACTACTCAGTCTTGAAAAGGGAAAAAGTATAAGGTGAAGGTGCTCAAAAGAGGAAGTGACCCTCATGGGGTAGATTCATAGAGGTCTATTACTACTCTTATCCAGCTACTGCTTTGGCTATTAGGTGGAGACAACCTGATAGACTTCAGAATTGTCTACGCTAATCGAAATTCATTTCTGTAGACGGAGATTGTCTAGGAAGGCTCGAGTTCGCTCTTTTCATTTATGACTACTGAGAGTGACGTAAATTTGGTAAAGTAAGATAGAATCGTAAAAATAATATTATATTGTTAAGGTCTCTTCTCTGTTGCTTGATAATGTCTAAAGCTTTGAAAGGTACTTTGATATTTATATTCTGTGTCTGAGTGTTCACAGGCTACTTCTATTTATCATGCCACTATGTACCTTTCTGATTATAACTTGCAACGTCGGGTATTCTTGAAAGGTGCGAACACCTGGAGACCCTGAAATTCACTACATCCTCTTTGCTAAGTATGATATAACTAACTCGGAAATATACTGTTTCCAATAGTAGTTATCCGATCTCTAGAGTCTTTAGACTTGTGGCCTAGTTCTCAAGTTGAACTGAGTTGGCTCCAATGGTCTTCGTTATTGATGAAATGATCAGTTTCACCTGCGGGTTGTATCTGTAAAGGTAGTCATAATCGCAATCTTTCTTGGTTGTCTGACTTTAAACTTCTATAACTCCTTACCCAACAGATAAATGTCTTCCGGAAGGCTTCTTACTGATTCGCAGAAAGCTATTCTATCGGGTTGACAATTATTCCCTCAGTTGACAACCCTTGGTTGCTTTTAGGTAACAGGATTTCAATCACCGTTGTAGTATGAGAAGTTGTTTTTGTAACTACCATGTGTTCTGAAATCTGGTTACAACATTTCATGAAGTCTAATAACTTCTATAGTATTGTTTTTCAGAGTTCTAGACTCTTTTAGATATTGTAGGATTGGTGTGAATGTATTAGTCTCTTGTTGAGATCCTTTACCATTCAATACCATCTCTTAATGCAGAAAGATCCTGTTACTTATGACCCATACCAAAGGTATCACATCTTTGAAGCCTAGTAACGTTCTGAGTAGTTGGCGGATTCACTCCGTTTCACTTCTCAGACCTAGCCGAAGGTCCCCTCTTATATACCCTGTGAACAGGATCTGGTTGGATAGACGGCGGCGATGTATATGGTGTTATTCTGATACCTTCAATTCTGTGGTATTATAGTCACAGGATGTAACTGAGATTGATATGTATGATGATGTGTGGGTCCCTTAAGGGGGCCAGAGGGGGGTGTTAGAGACCAGAGATTCCGATTCTGGGCAAGGTCATCCTACTTAGGGTGACTTCTGGGTATCGGATCCCAGTATTCCCAACATTGGCCCACTTGTAAGAAGTGTATATGGCAAAATCCCGATTTTCTTTTAATGAAAGACAATGCCCCTGCTTATTACTCAGACTTGACTATATTAGAAAGAGTTAAAGCAGGTATACTGAAGGTGGATTGGCCTCCCAATTTGCCCGATTTTAACCTTATTGAGCATTTGTGGCAGTTGATGAAATTACAAATACAAATACAGTGGAGGCATGAGCAAGTTACAAGTGTAAGTGAAATGAAGGAGGTATTACAGCATGAATGGGAGCAGAGTACAGTTCAGGAGGTTGATAGATATCTAAGCTTCCTAGAGTTATGGTTAAATGTATTGAACAGTAGGATGGAAACAAGTTCCATGGCTAAACAGATGGGAGAGCTGGGCAACAGCAAATTCTATAGCTAGTTATTTTGTTGAATATACCGGATTTTAGATTGCACTAAGTACCTGTGGCCTTGGCGCCAAGGTGTCCGAATACTTTTGAAATTTGTTAGTACTAGTACAGCACTCTCTACTCGAGTAATCATACGAACAAGTACGGGTACAGTGGCGAGATAAATAGAGTCTTCAATATGGGCACGACGAAAACCGGCGTGACGAGCAGGGAGTGATTAGCAGGGAATTTGTCTAAGGAAAAAAAAAGTAGGGCGTGACGAGGGAGGGACGTCTGTAGTCGGAGTGCTTTGCCAAGAATACCGGTATATACAAGTAGCTCAAGTTTAGACCCCAAAGGATATTCAACAACCGCTCCCATGGGAATGATGGCTCTATCGGATGATAAAGTAGGTGATTCTCTGCACATGAATAGAGAAGATGAAAATATCTGAAGCTTTGGGGGATATACTGGGGGCAAAAGTATGTTGGACTTTTGCCCGAGTCAGAAATTGTCCAGGACATGTTAACTCTGCCAAAGTCCTTTGCCCAGACAGTTAATTGCCAAGTGCCAAGGGATTAGCCTGTATCAAGACCATGCTTGGCATATTAACATGCTGTTACAAAGCCAGGCTGACTGTCGGCTGGAGAGGTCCCTCACCAGCAGGAAAAAACGCCCATTATGTACGAGTATCGGTACGAGTACTTATACCTACCTCATTCGTGGCCCAGGCACCATCGGAGACCTCCATGTTACTCGAGCAGCTCGTCAAATTGGGTGGCGCCTCGTCAGGGTTTGATCGCCCCACGCGCCCAACCAATCGTAGATTAACAGGGAGAGAGAGGGCTGAGGCTGAGATCGGTCAACAGGAGTTAACCGATCGCTTCCTCCGATTCCATTTTTGTCCCATTCTAAGGCTTCGAAGGGGAAGCTTTTGCCATGAAACGGAGAGAGGACAACTCAACTTCACGAGATAAGTGTTATCATACATAACCTCTCTCGTAAGGCTGTGCGGCTGAATTCCTGAGTTGTGGGGTGTGTCAAAAAGCTTAGCAGCGCCCATGATAGTTAGTTTAGGCGAGGGGGTTGCATTCATCGGGCTTTTCCCTTTACCCTACTCGAGCATTCCTCCGCCTTGGAAAAATCAAAAGTCGTTCAAATAACCTTTTTTTCTTTTTTCTTTTTTTTTCTTTTTCCTTTTCTTTTTTCTCTCTTTGGTGGGGGTTCCGGCGTTCGGGATTCTCTAACCGGCCCGAATTGGTTTTTTTTTGGTGAGGTGTGTGCTCTTGTGTGTGAGTCTTACTCGTACCGATCCTGCTGTGGAGGGTGGTCAGTTTCTGAGAGGGTTTCCTCCATGTCGTGGTGCTGATCGCGGTGGATAGTCCGTCTGCATGGCACTTCAGTAGAGGATACAGTACTCGTACTCTTGTACTCGTACTGTACTCATAGCACCATACCACACCTATCCAGCCTTTAAGCACCAGGTAGCGATCGCGGATGAGCGAAACCACTGGAGAACCCGGTCACAAACTAACATAGGGGCAGAAAGCCTTCTCCACTCTCGCTCGGGCAGGCCGCGATGCCAGCTAGCTTGCTGGTGGATGGACAAGAGGTATCCCGTCTTTGGTACGGAGTTCCCACAAAGTACGCAGGGGCAACACAAACAAGCTATTTTTAATCTTTGCTTTGGGTTAGGGTAACCGGTAGATTCCACGGCATTCAGCATTGTACGATACGGTACGAGTGCAAATACGATGCCCGAGGCGTGATCCAGCTGGGGCACCACACAACACAATTCTGAAGGACATCATACCGAGCATGGCGTGTATGCTCGTATCTCAATCCACCCAGCAACAGCTCTGGAAAGCCTCCAACTCTCCTAAGAAGAAAAAAAAACTCAAATATTTGCTGCACGAATACTTACTTGTGGGGGGGGACCTACCGGTATCATACATTCCCCTTCGCTCGGTCGTACTCCTCCACGAGTGCGGAGCCTCACTCGTGTATCTGTAACTTTTGCAGCCTTCGATATTCCCCCGCTAAATTAATCTGGGCGTGTTATTCGACGGAAGAGCATATAATGATTTACACCCGTCCACACCTACTAGTACGGTACGCAGTGCTCGAAGGAGATGCGGTGTAGTTAGGCAGCGGGCGGGAAAGTCATTTAATTTAATTTAGGTTGTCTTGAGAAGCACAGTGCGATAAAGTTGGCAGGAGAGGATGAGTGGTGGGGTTTTGTTCGCTGGATTGATTAAATGGTGTTCCCGTTGGGCGGCTATGCAGATCCCTCGCGCGACGGACTCTCCTGGTTGGTCGTGTCATCTAATGTTAGGGCTTGCTTGCCTGCCCGAAAACCGGGGTAACATAACTGGTGCTTTTTAGGAAAAGCAACTTTTAGACTCTGACCCGGGAGGATACAGCGGTTGCACTGGCAGTGAGAAGGGACAGGGTACAGCTTTAAAGCGATGGCAAGGGTTTCTATGGGAGAGTGATAGGCGCCGTTTTTATCACTTCTAGTAATCGTACCCAGGATTATTAGGCCTGTTGAAGTCTCGCAAGTTGAAACTGTATTGGGAAGGTTGGGAGAGCGGAGTACCCTATGCTTCCTTTGAAAGGCAAAAGGAAAAGAAAAGAAAGGGCAATATGTCATAGCGTACCGGTGCTGTGCGAGTGGAGCGGAGTTGGGCGGAGCACAAGTAGAGTTAGGGAAGTGGTGGGTGTGTCTTGGGGAGTTTTGCGATCTTTAGCGGAACTCACAATGTCGCATGACATGATGCGAGAAACCTTAGAATTGGAAGTGACGAATGAAAGGGAATCACCCATCGATTGGGTATCCTCAGTATTCTGTGGCCGGGATATCAGTGTAATTTGTGTTGGCGCCCCCTCGAGAAGGAAAGGAAAAAAAGGAAAAAGGAAAAAACACACAGCCCGAAGAGGTACGTATACTCGAGTAGGGTACTGTAGCATGGTAGAACCTTATACGAGGTAATTGTCTCATGGGGGGTTTTATTGTCTGGCTGCCAGGCCTGATTTGATGCGAAGGTTCTCCGGAAATTCTTATTTTGAGCGATCCTAGCAATACTAGGAGAACTTGTACAGTACCCACTACCGGTAGTACCAAGAGCACACGTAACGCACCAATACTGTACTAGTGCTGTATGAGTACTGTACCACATAATACTCGAGTACAGCACCGTACGAGTACTTCCAACAGCAACACAGCTCGGCGGAAGAATCCGATCGATTTGATTCTCGCGGTGCTCGAGTAAATCCCCGGCCGCCGAGACAGTGTCCTGTGCGAACTCGAATGGAGGATGGATGTGCTGGGACGTTGTAGTTGTAGTTGCCTCTCTTTGTAAGGCACTGTGTACGTACCATATTCCTTTTGTTTTGTCTCAACTGAGGCTGAGTTGCGGTGTTTTCCTCTCGCGTAGCCGAAAGGGGGAATTCCAACGTCCTAGTTCGAGTATCTCCCCTGCGGCCTCCGACGGTCATCAATAGCGTAAAAGTCAATCAATCAATCCTAAACCCTTGGTGCAAATTACGAGCCCAAACGGAGCTGATTATAGTTTACTGAACCAACCCCGTGCTTGAGTCGCCCCGGTCCTAAAGGCAAAATCCTAAGTAACACTGCCGTCCTCTCTCCATCTCCGGTCGGCTGCCGCTTTACGGGTATGGTATGCGCACCACAGAGAAACTCCCTTCCGACTAGGTTGCGCTGATCACCAAAATAGGGTAAAGAGGGTGGAATTTATTATACCGTATCAAGGTTGGAGATTTTTATTGTAGGAAGGTAGGATCTTACAAGTACCTCAGGTTAGGCTTTTTACAACTCGGCGGTTAGTTAGAGGCTAACGTAAGGTAGGGTGGGAGACTTGGGAATAGGGAAGGATACTGCTGATAGCACTGGACAGGATGATATTGTCTGGGGCTGAGAGGGGTGTGAGTGAGTGGGATAATCGGCTTGGTAAAGCTTGGCCATTGGGCGATCACTAGCGACGACCCCTACCGGATGGCACAAGCTGCCGGATGTTTGATGCTCGGGCATTTAAGGTTTCTTTTGAGTGTTTCAAGTAATGAATGGTGGTGGGGTTCACCATCACCAATCAGTCAGATACTCGAGTAGATGGACAGACAAGCATGAACGGCTGAAGGTTGCTGCTGTTGGCAGCTCTTGCTTTTCTTCCTTCCCTCTCCATTTCTTTCTTTCGATGTTGACCAGTTTCAAGGAAAAAAAGAAAAGAAAAAAAAAAGAAAAAACAAACAATTTATGCATGTATCAGTGTTCGAGGGTAGGCAGTTTTGCAAACGAGAAACCTACCTATGAGAAGTGGTGCTCTGCATTTTGGTCCATTTGATTTGATATTATGGTTGAACCCGATTTTGGTTTGGTGAGTAAACTCAGGATGAGTTAGAAGAGACCGTGCGATATGATTCTAGGATAGCCTACCAGAAGAGCAGAAGGTACCTCAGAGAAAAGAGGAAAGTTGCCCTGGCAAATGAATGATGAGTGAATGACACAAACCTTCTTCTATCACCACTGTTATCAGCATTCCAGCCCCAGTGATACAGTTGTCTATGCCTATCGAAAGGGGCCACCAACCTGTGAGGTAATTCCCAAATTTACTCTATCCCGGCAATCGGGGAGAACCCCGCGAGAGGGCTAAGCGAGAAGTGTCAAATAATTCTTAATCAACATTAACAACCTTGGCTCAGGAAAGGGAACGGACAAAGCGAAACCAATAGGTTCCATATCAAATTCGGGCTGCTGATAAACCCTGATGATGATTTGAGGGGCTCCGCGGCGCAGAAGCAGCGGCAATGTCGGTATAAGCCCATTCTTGTATTCCCATGATAACCCCTCTGCTTCATTTTCGCTCTCTCTCATGCTCCTAAGGTCCAATTTGCCTTTTTTTGACTTATGCGATCGTTTAGGTGGGGGAGAATATTCCCCCAGACCCTCGCGCGAAAAGCAAGCATGACAATATAAAGTTTGCTTGGCTGCGAAAGTTAGATCGCCCCACCATACCACGATTCCTTTCTCGGGAAATTTGGAAAGAGAGAAAAAATGAAGTAAGATATGAAGCACTGCCCTCCTACGGGAGATGGCACAAACTCAAATAGTCTGACTCTGGCAAGAACCACAGTTTTCCTTTTCCCTTGTCTTTGCTCCCTGAGAAGGGAAATATGCAAGAGACAAAGCGCTGGGGATCCTTACTGGCCGTATGCAAAATCCTGATATACGGTATATCCGTGGTGAACTGAATGCACTGTACCGATAGGGCTGTACCTAATGGGCAACGTCAGACTGGGATGTTGCAGTAGGCAGCGACTGGACTCTGCATTGAATATCACAAACCTCTTGCCTCCAAATCTTCTGACCCAACCCTTCTCCTTTCCCCCCTTGCGGCGCTGATCAGGCAAGAATTCGGAATGAGAGTTGAGATTTCGCGTCAGCACCATCAGCACCACCGCAAGTTATTGGAACACGGAGGGGTGGGGATGAAATGGATAAACCAAGGCCGGGTGTTATTCTGGTATCATCGAAATCCTTGGCCTTTGGCCAAACTGAAATTTGTCTTGGATGATGTGATGACGGTGCCGTACAGGATTGGCCGGTGTGAGTCCTGGAGAATGTTATTTGCCGGAACCCGTGTTGACAAAGGATGATGAATGATGATGCAGATGATTGATGTTCAAGGGGGCCCTTTTTTGCAAGCTCAGTTGCTAATACGATGTCGGAAGGGAAAAAAAGTCGCAACGCTAAAGCTGGGCTCGTGTCGCCGGATTGAAGTTGCGTGTTCTTCTTGGTGACGCACTTCCCTAGAGACTTGGATTATTGGACGGTGTGAAGAGTGGTCGAAATAAGCTGTGAAACCAGCCAGACCGGAGATTTGTGGCATTGTGATATTTTTAGACCAAAACAGGATAATAAATCAACCATCAAATTTTGATACCACCGGAAGCGTCTTTCGGCCTTAGGTGATGTCACTGGCGGGCTTTGTGAACAGTGTAGATAAGTGTGAAGTGAGTGATAAAGTATCATGCCGTGGGATCCGGGAAATACCGCAAAATCTGGTATGAACCGACCAGCACTAGTGGGTTCATCAGCAAAAAAAACTGGATTCTGCATCCGGAACATGAGTTTATGTTTGGCCTCAGGCAGTTTTAGTGGACGGCATCCTAAATACATCCCATCTGTGTCCCATGTATCCTGATGGCCCAAATAGGAAATATTTGGCTCGAGATAGAAATTTAGAAAAGAAATCTCATGTATTAAATGGCTTGACAATCAGATAATTATTTTGTACACTTTCTAGGATTCTAAGTTTTTACTGGCCTTGTATAATAGTTTTGCAATTATGATTTATAAAATCAAAAAAACTCCATGATGAGTTTATGAATAAGGCTGAAATTTTAACAGCAGATATAAAATAATACTAACTTTTAGATAAAATAACAGGTTTTTCATTTTTTAATTTATCTAATTTCCGTTTACCAGATATCTTTGAATGTCCTCAGAAATTTCCAGATATATGTGATGTATGAGATACACTAAACACAAACTGCCTTTCAGGATGCAACAGGTTTTTTTTCTTCCTAAAATTGGAATAAAGTCATGGCTGAGGTAAACCCATGTTATGGTACAATAATTTAAGATATTGGTTAATAATAGTTTGCAAGATGATTATGAAGTTGATTGCAATGATGAAGGACTCTTCGAGGAGGTAAAGACTTGTATTTATGACTAAACTGGGTATTTATAACTCAACTAACTGGTATAAAAGTAGAGAGATACAAGAAGAGACACTCTATAAGTACTTACCAATACCACAGAGATCTTTCTCTTTTCTTCCATGTTTTTTTTAGACCCTATAGTATTGATCTATATTCTACAAATTGACAAAATAGATGACTGAATTATCAGTGAACTTTGACAGCCAGTATCCTAAAAAATGACTCAAAAATCAATAGACAGGCCTGGCTCTACCTCCTAGTTAGTAATAACTAAGTCCTGTAAGGACAAAAGCATCCAACTTCACAAAGATGTCCACTGGTCATATATATGAGACTTTAAGCTCTAAGTTCTTCCTTATACATGAAATTACTAAAGGGGATTTTGGCACACTATTGTTTGAAATAATCTTGATTTTAAAACAGATTTTGGGCCAAATCATATGTTGTAAAAACAAGTAGGCTTGGTACAATATTGTTTGTACATATGATGAAATCATTGTTTGAACACATGAGTTAGAATAACAAAATTTACTACAATGATTATTAAATGATTAATTATACAATAAATATATATTATATAAATTTGTAAACCATATCTTAACAACCTATGTATTATATGGTAGGGAGAAAATAATACAATAATTTAAAGAAATTTTATAATAGAGTTTTAAGAAATTTTATGTTAAGGGCTATACCTAATACTATCATAAATGTGATATTTACAGAAATGCTATTTTCTAGGTAAATGGATATGTATGTAACATATTAATAGTTTTTACAATATTCTATAGTATACTTGGCTTGATTTATATAAGAAGCTAAACCTAAACCACAGGAAATCCTACTATTACAAGCACAACATTTTTTTCTGCTAACTACATCATCCTTTCCTTCATCCTCAACAATATCACTTTCAAAGACTGCAGCTCACGTGTCCAGAAAGCAGTTTGGACAAAATATACAGATTAAAGGGTTATTGATACAATGTTAGCATAGTGCGACATGGGAAAAAAATTGGATAATGGGTTTAAAAAACAAGTATGTCAGAAGATTATAGAGAAATTTAACAAGGGTGTGGTTGAGGAGGAAAAGACAGTACAGCAGTTGAAGACTTATATGAATACAGTAAGAATGCTGTTTCTTGGTTATTGTAATTAGAATTAATATTTGTTCTTAATTAATTCAATTATTAACTACAATAAATGAAACAGAAGTAAAAGACATTCACATATTGTTGATTCTTCTGGATAT